ATTCACCATTTTACAAGACCGTCAAGCCACTGAGTGGATATGAGACTGAAAATCCAACACGCGTGAATGTAGTGGTTCCCTCGCACACCCTTCCGAACAGTGCATTTTGTTTAAATACTTTTCAGGCACAGTCTTGTCGAAGAGACGAGTTGGTGATACAATACAATACCGTGTAGCGATTTCGTTCGATGACATATGCTAGTGGGGTGAGATAAAATGCAGCATCATTGCACATCATCTCTCAGGGCACACATTTAGTGATCGCATTAGGACAGAATAACTGGACAAACTGGACTCCAGGGCAACCATTCCAAGGAACAAGAGGACTGTTACATTCGGCTAGGCACATCAAACCAAGACTCTGCCAGAGTTCAATCAAAGAAACCCCCACAAGACTAGCATGCCAAACATGAGGTTAAAAGACTGACCGTATCTGTCCCAAGCAAAACCTCGGTTGGAATGCATCTTATCTACCCGACCCCGTATTGGCCCACAGAGCTAACCCTCGGAGTTGCTTTTGTTAGCAAAGCCAAGGGATTGTGAGGCAAAATAATTGATTGAATTGGTCAATGTGTCCTTTCAAATGCAGTCAAGAGGCATCTGGTCATTCATCACCAGACCATCCGCCTGCACCGAGAGCATTGTTGGTTGTTTGATGACTTGCCATCGTCACAACTCCTTACATTATATGTGAGCCATGGTCATGGTTCCAGAATACAACCCTTGATCATCGTCGAGATTCCCCATCAGGGGGTCCTTCACCATCTTACAAACCCCTGAAAAAAAGGTGCTTTGCCCATGGCACTTGTTCTCACGCAACATCCTTGCAGCTTCCCTAAGGGACCCGATTCGGGTCTGGTTCTTGCTAATCTTCCCAGTGATGTTTCTGTGCTGCCCGAGCACGAAAACCAATACTGAAACAAGTCTAAAGACTACCGAGTCTAAAAAGTACGAATTCTAAAAAATGCTGGGCCAGCTCCAAGGAATGCTACATCAAATCGAAACAGCTTCTAAGCAGGCCGGAAGAGGAGTTCAGGGGAAGGACCGACTCTAACTCCGGGTTTGTTGTTTGGGGCTTTGCCTGTTGACCCCCTCATTTGTTTGAGAGGGCCCTTATACTAATCACTACCCAACAGTAGCAAAGAGCTCAATCCTGGGAAGTCGTCGACTCATGGATTTTTGAGAATTCAGCAGTCCGTTGATCCCCTACACTCTCAGTGGGTGTCATCAATCTAACCTTAGGTCTAAAAGTCAAACAGCCAACCGCGCTCGGAGCCTTTAACCTGTCAGCAAGAAAAGGCCCGGAAAACGTGCCGGCGTGCCCGACGCCTTCGATTCCTTCTCCCCGCGTTCTGCGCCTCCCATCTGAAGTTGGGATATTGGGCCGGGTCCAAAAGTGACATCCTCAAATTTACCCACGGTGGTTCAGGGGTCACTGGATGTCCCGTAAAGTTGATCAATTTGCTGGTGGTGTGCATTGAAACTGCCACTTTTGGAGCTCCCAAACACGGAAATTGAGGGACCCCGTGGTTGAAGAGGAAAGTACCAAAAGTAAGAACCCCTCAAGATGCTCAGACGACTCTATTTCATGAACCCTCTTTCTAACAATGGAAGTGGACAGGGGGGTTCCACAACAGGAAGGGAATCGTGCAAAACTCGGGAGGGTCATGGATCTCCGCAAATAACGCCATGGAATTGGATGTTTGAACCATGTTACCTCTGCTGAGCTCTATAAAGCTCTATGCTTTAGCTAAGAACGAAATGCCTGAATGATCCTGGCGCATTAGTGTTCCTCAAAAGTTCCCAATTCTTCCCCCGTCAACAAGCAAAGCCCCGCATTGATCATCAAATAACTTTGCCCCTGCTTTTCAGTATTACCGAATCAACTTTCTAAATAAAGCTGGTAAACTGGGACACTTCCTGGAAATGGATCCAAATACGAAAGCAACTCAACAGTGGTATTGCTTCTTTTTCTGTAGTATTGCAAAGCAACAATGTGCCTAACTAAAGCAATGATCTGGGCCACTTCCCGGGAAATGCTTCCAACTACAGGAGCAACGCAACAGGATTGCCCTTCGTGAATTGCCGAGCTTCCAGGAGCCTGATCCGAATGCAAAAGCCATTCACGAGAATGGACCCTTTGTTGCGTCGCAAAGAACGCCCTTCTGGACTTCCTGGACCTGGCTCCTGCAAACGCAGTTCAAAAGTAGTCCCCTGTTAGTAGTGCCAATCTTCCTGGAAAGTTGGGCTCAAAGAAGTCTAGCAATACTGCTTGTCAATGGTTTTTGTGCTCTTGTCAGCTTCCAAGTCGAAGTCTGGCAATACTACCGAGGCAATGGCAAATTGGTCTCAGATTGTGTCAAATTCCCCCTCAAACACTAGTCGCCATTTCGGGGCAAAGTGGGCGGCGGGGATTAACCAAAGGCGGGGACATGAAAAAGCGAGTCCAACGGCCAAGTCACTGAGACGTGTATTCCTGTTGCTCCATTGCCGAAACAGGTGACAAGCACGGAACAGAACCACAAGTTGCATCCACCAAAGTAGGCACGTGCCCAATCTGGGCCCAATCAGGCGGGCCCGTCTGGCAATCTGGGACTCTGGGACCCCTCACGCCAGCGGTTGGTTCTCTCTGGCACATCCTCGGACCATCTCGGGTAAGCCAAATTCGTGTTAGTCTGCATGTCCGGTCCCAACTCAATCCCTCGCCCTTTTTCGGACTTTCTTGGCTTCCCCGAAGCGCAACTGACACAGTGGTGACCCGTCGGCCCTCGCGGCAACGGATTTTACCGGGCTCATTACATCAGTCATGTCGCACCCATACATTTTACCTGCCAATGGCAAAGCCCGAAACATTGCCAGCAAACTACCATTTGACTAGCACCCAAAGATTGACTGCAAGGGAATTGCTTTAGATGTCCAAACTACAAACAATGTTTTACCCACATTTGTTCAAGAGAAATACCAGGACCCCAAACTTTGCCTTCGCACAAGACGGTCACTCTGCCTCCTGCGACCCAACTTTTGAAATGTTGCTCAAATGTGATCTCTTTAGTCCCTCTATCTCGCGCTGCTATTACCTTGAGCTCCATTTCGCTTTTCGGTGCCCAGAGCGTGGTTTTCAAGCCCATTATCCCTTTCGGGGTAGTTCTTCCCAGCTCTGCCTCTTGTTCTCTGTGCCTGCCTTCGCCTTTTCTTCAGAATGTGTTCTGTTCGCAGTAGGCCTCTCTTCTGGCGCCACATCCCAGTGCTCCAACAACATCTCTGAAGACTAATCTGGCAGAGTTGCTCATTCTCTACGTACAGGAGAGGAAACAGGATTCTGTTTCAGGTGCTGATACCTCGCCTGAAGAAAACTGACGAACAGTAGCAACAGCAAAACATGTCAAGCTTGGATCTTGCCCATGACAAGCGTCGCAGTTCAAGTGGTCCGTGAATGAGCGTCCCGGTTGGCAACAACTTCATGGATGGCGCCTCTGCGTGCTAAAGGCAAGACGTGTGGTTGGACCGGTTCGTTGATGAACACGGCCATTGAAGCAAAACACTTTTCCAAATCAGGGGCTGGGGGGCCAAAGAACTCTGGCCGATGTGCCGCCTCCAAGATCAACAAGCTATATACTGCATGACAAACGGCCCCCTTGCCTTGCCCGATTGTCTGATTTGCAAACCCTCCTACACGAAGACCGGACAACACCAGGGACTTTTATGGCGAGGCGCAAAAGGACTTCCGAACGAGGTCCCTTTCACAAATCCTCTGCCACGTGCTGAGGTCGGCCAGGACCCGCCGCCGTTCAAGGTGTGTGGCACTCCATATCCCCCGACAAAACAAGTTGACTTTTTGGTGGTAACAGCGGTGCCAAAACCCAAAAACTGGTTTAAGTCTGGCAATCACCTGACCCCACCAGCTCACCCTTAGTTTGCCAAGACGCAATGCCCACCAAACGTTTGGCCTGAGCTCGCGCTAGGCCCAACGGCTACGGAAGGTCCGAAGCTTTTCAAATTGACCCAGAACGCTACAACTTGTCGGACTTCTGAACATAGCTTTCCCAGGATTCCCTATCTATCCCTTAAAAGTTCGGAGAAAGTGAGTGTCATGGCTGAGGCACCACAAACCCAGGTTCTACAGTCCCTGTGAAGGAGCGGCCTACGTCTTCAGTAGTCTTGCGGCCCACATTTAGTCTACCCAAAATACATGTACGTACGCACGTACGCATGTATGTAGGTGTAAATATTTATGTGCATATGTTTAAAATCATATTGTAGACTCCAACAAAAATGGGGGCGGGGGTCCCTAAAGCAAGCCTTTTAAGGTTAGCTTCAAGTGACATCAAAGCGATCCAGCTATTTGGGGTGCACTATTTGCAGAACCCAAATGGGCGTGCCTTTTTGAGGGTACCTGTTTAGTGTTCTGAAAGGAAAACCAAAAGGAACGCACCAAAAAGAAGACAGGGCTCAAGAAAACCATGGCTCCCAAAGAAGAAATCAGAGTTGCAGGGAACCCACCCACCCACACACACACACCCTTCTTGTCTATGTTGGGCATTCCCAAGGTGGCGGTGTTTACTTCCTCAAGTCTTGACCAACTAAATATTGCATTGTTTGGATGTGGTCCATATTTTGCGAGCCCCAACATGTAAAATGATGGCATTTGGGAGATCCCAGTTTGGGTGGTCCAAAGTTGCAAGAGACGCCCGACATGTGTGAGCAAACCAATAACCACGCCTATTTGTGGTTTGGATAGTCCACGAATCTTCTGCCCAAACTTTGATTGTGGAAAACACGAATTCGCAAAAAGGCGAATTGGAGATATTGGAACGGGTCGCAGCTTTCCCTTGCCTTAGGCTTATTCAAGGAAAGCCCCCTCTGCAGCCCCCCGGCATGGCTCGGTCAGCTCTAGGCTGAAGTTCCATCATTTCAAGTCACAAATGTCTCAAATCTTACTCTCCTGCAAATGAAAATGAAACCCGAAAGCCCGCCCTTGTTTGGCTAGAGGAATCTCCTTTCCGGAATTCAACCGCCGTTTCCCGCTTATTCGCAGGAACATTATTTGAACTTGTAGACCAATCATGCCAACCATCTGCAGATGCCCAAAATGAAACCAACAGTACTGAGGGAATGACCCCTTTTGCAACCTTCCCTTGTAGCTTCACAAAGGCATCCCCACACGGTGAACCCATTCCCCAACAACCAGCACGTTGACGTTGGTGTCCCATTGACCAGCCGGAAGAATTCTATGTGTCGATTCACCCCCAAACAGAAGAGATGATCAGATCATCTCTTCCTTTTAAAGTTTGCCTTGGTTTTTCCGTTCCCCTCCCACCCTTTTCACCCGGCCATGGGTCAAAATCCCCAATCCAACCACTAAAATAGGTTCTAAAATGGGTGCTGCACCAAAATGGGATCCCATTGGTTTTGACTCACAGCCCCATGGACCCGTTCGACCTTCGGGCGGTCCTTTGGGCGGACAGAGGCGGGGCGCCCAGGGCCCTGGCCAGCTCCTGCAGAAGCGAGACCTGCAGCTCGGGGTCCTGAAAAAGCGAACTGCGGAAGCAAACATGGGGATTAGCAAACATATGAATATATTTACATATACATTAATTTAAGTATGCATAAGTATAGATGTATTGTATGTGTATATGTATGTATATATATATATATATATTCAATTCTGTAGATAGGTTTGGGTTGTCAATACTCCTTGGCCCCCAAATGACCATGGGTAACTTTCCTCATTTACTGGAACATATTATGCTTTGAGCAACCCGCATATTGTGCATGTTGGCAAATATTAAGGCTCTACATCCTTGTTGATGGCCTGCCCCATGGCTTAAACTTGCTACGTCTTGAGCACGCCTTACTTACCATGAGTAGCAAACACTCCCCCCTCTTCTGCTGTGATGCGTGGCACTCAAACCTTTCATCTACGGATCGTTGGAAGTATCGTGCACCCTGCTTGTCCCCTACATGAGTGCTTAGTGTTGTCCTGCTGCAAGGCTCCATCTCGAAGGGTGCATTATCCGAACCAAGAAAATGCTAACAGCTAATGTTACACCATGTCTCGTGGAAGACTTCTCATTTTGACCTTTCACCGCGAGCTATCGTTTCGTCTATCTTTTGCCCCCAGCATCATGTCAAGAGGTCCTACATGGACACCCCTGCAGTGGATACCCAACATATTGCAAGAGGGGGGCAATTTGCCGCTACATCCAAGGGAGTTGCGGTTTGGTGGTCCAATTGCTGCTCTTCTCCATGGCTCAGCATCTTGCGGCCTGCTTCCCTTCACGACACTGCAATGTAATGCACTTGTGCGAAGCCACAAACAATATTCAAACAACCAAGCATTTCTTTTCTGAATGCCCCAAAACAAGGTGTCCCCTTGCGCAGCCCATATGTTCTATCCGAAGCAGAAGCATACAATCTAAAATATTCGCCTGCACTTTGTGCTATCCTGCCACTCGCCACACTAGTTGATGATCTTTGAGCAATAGCACTTGCCACAATCTATCTTCCATGCTAGTCCTGCGCAATTCCGCGACCTGTATGCCTCACCACCTTTTGGGCCGCTGTAAGGTGAGTTGCCTTTGGTAGGGGTGATGCTTTGAGTGGTAGGACTGCGATGGGTGTGAAAAAAGATAGAGCAAGGTGCGCCAACATTCCCATGGGAGGCCTCCCAGAACTAGATGAGCCTATGTGTGCGTCTGCAATGATTACTTCTGGAACCAACTGATCTGGACACGTGTTCAACAACACAAGTCAAGCATGCCCAATTACTGGGAAACCCGGAACTAATACGGGGTGTCCCCTTTTAGTGGGGGTTCATCACTTTTGAAGGGATCAGCACCCTAATGGGTGTATTGATTCGGGGGCAACATTACTGTCTGAGAAGAGTATTTATTCATCATGCGTACTGTCTGACATCTCCTTTGCACAGTTGCTTTAATTTGTCCAGGACTGATCGTGTCTTCTATCGACCTGGTCAGTATGGAATGCTCACAATTTCAGTGAAACAAGCAATAGATGCCAGTGGCATTTGGGTATCAAATCCCTTCCCCCGGGATATGAAAGAAAACTGTAATCAGTCATGGTACAACAAAATACATCTGGTATGAAACATGCATCAACAATCAGTTGACATCTGCCATGGAGAATCCTGAGGCAAGCCTGTTTGGGAATTGTGGAATCAGTTGTGGCTCTCATTGAGATGGATTATGCACAAAGCCTCAAGCAACCAGGCCCCAAATGTCATTGACACATCAAACACAATGCCAGTGAATCTGATCAGTTCACTCCCCCTACTCAGCCCCAATTCAAGAATTGCTTTGGTACGCGTCAATTCTAGATGTACTTCCACCAATCTGTTCACCAGATTTTGAAAAGAATGATGGGTGAAAAGAGTGGGGGATCAACACCCTGCACGCCCCTTGCTGATGGCCGGGAATGAGATCAAGCTTTGCTCATACCGTATACCGCATCTCCAACCATGCATGGAGCCGGACGGTGGGG